AAATATAATCTCTGATAAATGGCTCTTTAGACACAAACTTGGCCCATCAGGTGAGTTATCTAGGTACAAGGCCCGTTGGGTGGTCCGCGGCTTCAACCAGCGCTTTGGCGTCGACTACGACGAGACTTTCAGCCCCGTTGTCAAACCTTCTACAGTCTGCATCATTCTTAGCATTGCTCTGTCCAGAGGATGGCCCATTCACCAGCTAGACGTCAAAAATGCCTTCCTCCATGGTCAGCTACAGGAGACAGTTTACGCCAGTCAGCCTTCCGGGTTTCAGGATCCAGCTCGACCTCACTATGTTTGTCGACTCAAGAAGGCACTCTATGGACTCAAGCAGGCACCGCGGTCGTGGTATCACAGATTTGCCAGTTTCATTCAGACTATTGGGCTTCGTGGGTGCAAGTCAGATACATCACTGTTCGTTTTCTCTCATGCCATGGGCACTCCCTACCTACTCATGTACGTTGATGATATTGTTCTCATAGCATCTTCCATAACACTTCTCCAGCATCTCATCCAGCGGCTAAAGGCCGAATTTGCTATGACAAACATGGGGGACCTACATTTTTTCTTGGCATCAACGTACACAGGACGACCAGTGGCCTCTTTCTCCACCAAACACAGTTCACTCATGGCATACTTGAGCGGGCCGGGATGGTACCTTGTCGCCCCATCTCCACCCCAGTGGACACAAAGGCAAAGCTCTCCTCCTCGTCAGGCACTCTGCTCCCCGATCCTACTCTTTATCGATCAGTTGTTGGAGCCCTACAGTACCTTACCTTCACTCGCCCTCAATCACTTATGCCGTCCAGCAGCTTTGCCTACACCTTCATGCCCCCCGTGATGCTCATCTCACAGCCATGAAGCGTGTCCTGCGCTATCTCAGTGGCACCTCCACCCATGGCATCCACCTGGAGCGATCCTCCACTGACTCCCTGTAAGCATACTCCGACGCTGACTGGGCCGGTTGCCCAGACACCCGACGTTCCACCTCTGGATATTGTGTCTTTCTCGGTGATAATCTCGTCTCCTGGTCCTCCAAGCGTCAGGCTACCACTTCTCGTTCTAGTGCCGAAGCCGAGTATCGCGCCGTGGCCAACGCCGTAGCAGAGACGAGCTGGATCTGGAATCTACTACTTAAGCTACAGCAACCCCTTCGGCGTGCCACCCTTGTTTTTTGTGACAACGTCAGTGCTGTGTATCTGTCAACAAATCCTGTGCAGCACTAGCGCACCAAGCACGTGGAAGTTGATATTCACTTTGTCCGTGACAGAGTAGCACTAGGCCATGTGCGCGTTCTCCACGTTCCCTCGTCTTCGCAGTATGCTGACATCTTCACTAAGGGACTGCCTTCTTTATTATTTCTGGACTTCAGACAAAGCTTGGGAATCAGACCTCCTCCATATCCGACGTAACTGGGAGCATGTTAAATATATTGTATATATTTAATATCTTGTATTACTCCCTTACCTTATTTGAATAGGTTTCCTTACTTGTGTCTCTCCTACCTTGTTTAGGATTGAGACTCCCCTTATATATATACATCTAATCACAACTCATTTGATCAATGGAAATCATAATTCTTTTGTTTCAATATAAAATATTTGAAAAAATTTATTATGGACAAGGAATATTCATTTTTACGAGAAACTTCTTTCCTAATTCAATGCTTTTTATTATCTTCATTTATACTAAATTTTACAATTAAAGTACTAGATGCAGTTTTACCTTTAAATTTAAATTAATGTCATACAAGTATTTTTAATGATATGTTATAATGAAGGTAGTTTTGATTGCATTAATCACAATACTCATGGATAACTAAAAAATATATACGTTAAAAATTAAATTAAAATATTTATAAAGCAAGAGATAACTAGATGTACTATAATTACTTTCAAACTAGAATAAAAATATACATAATTTCATAGTTTGAATAAATTGATTTTATTATTTAATCTTATTACTAGGCAATTTATGATTTATTTTTCTTAAATAATTTATGATTTAAATCTAAAGATACATTATTTTTAATTATCTATCATGACATAATATTTGAAATTATATTATCGAATACAATTGATTCAAAAAAATGTACGTGTCAACATGACATAATATACTATATTTACACTAATTTTGTTTATTATTTTAACTTTATTGAGTAAATTTAATTATGGAATACATTATAGAGATCATCGCTTTTATTAGAATATACAAGGATTTTTCTAATTTTATAATTCTTTCACTTCATTTATAATAAAACTATCAAAGAATAAAAAAGATTTCCTTCGTTAGAAAAAGATACTTTCTTAACCTTCAAAATTCATTTGTTTATGACAAGCCTAAGTGAAGTTAGTTTCTAAATATATTATTTTTAATTATCTATTATGATATGATATTTTTAATTACATTTTCCAACCGAGTAGGAGTCCACCAAAATCGGTGAGGTAAAGCTGGGGAACACTTACCTAAATTTTTTAGAAAATAAATAAATACACATCTAGGGAGGGCAAGACTGAAGCTTTGAATATTTTTAATTACAATATACAATACAATTTTTTTTAATCATAGTAAATCTGATCTAAATTTAATCATTGGATCGGAACACTATTGTTTTTCATATTCATTTTTTGTATTAATGCATGGGAGTGGAATTATTAGATTTTTAATGTTTTTTAACTATAACTTTTTTAATCATAGTAAATCTAATCTTTTATTTTTTCAATCATGCAAGGGGAGAAGTATCATATTTTTTAATTAATACGAGGGAGGATAATCATATTAATGCAAGAGAGACAAATAATATTTATTTCACTAATATAAATTAATGTGGCGATGCGGGGTAAAAGAATCATATTTTTGAATAATGAAATTGGTCATCTATTTTTTTTAAATTAATACAACAAAAAATAATTATGGGATCACAATTTTTTTAAAATTAAACCGAGCAAAGGAAAATCATATTTTCTTAAAAAATTAATTTGAGAGAAGAGAATCATATCATTACGAGTAGATTAATCAATTTTTTTCAATAATCTAAACCAATGCACGGAACGTATATTTTGCCAATCAATGATGATTGTGTAATAATAACTGGGTTTATAAATGAGAACAAATGTTTGTAAATCTCAAACCATAAAATAATTTTAATTTGAAGAATGTTATACCCATTATGTTATTGAGGAACATCGATCAATCATCTGAATTGCACAATTTATATTCTATATTCTGTTGTACCCGATTTTGGGTACAACCAATCTTAAAATGAATCAACGAAACAGAGCAATTGTGCGGAAGATTTGGATTGTCGCAAGGACCCTAGGAGTGACACGATGGAAGATCTGGATGGTCGCAATCAAGTCTGCGTGGAAGAGTGGCAACCCTAGGTGCGGACGGGATAGACAATTCAGGCTATATACATCTGGAAGGAACTGATAAACCCTAGGTCCAACTATCGTTTATGCCAACAACGATGAAGATGACGATGACAATGAAGATGACGATGACTATGTTGTTTGGAGTAATTTGGAATAATGTGAGTTGAATTAAACTATAAGATTATATTTCCAAATTTGAAGAGAATGAATGGTATGTTACTTGAGAATGAACATTACGTGATTTGAAAATGAGCACCACCTTGTTTCAGAATGAATACTAAGTTATGCGTAAATGATTATTATAATTGTAATATATAAATGTGTGAAAAGGATAATATGTTATTTCAGATTGAATACTACGTTATTTCAAAATAAATGTTTATATTTATGTGAGAATGAGTAATACTTTACTTTAGAATGAATTCTACTCGAATATACCTTACTTCTGGTACAACCGGCTATATACCATATACCTTCTCTCTGAATGGTATAGTAGTACAAGGTTAAGCATTGAAACTTGTGACCAATGATTATAAAAAAGTTAATGTCAAATATTGGCATTAAGAATATTATTTTTACCAAATTGGTATTCATTTATTGTTTTTTTGTTTTTTTGTTTTTTGTTTTTTGGGTGGGTCTCTCACATTTTGGCCCAATACAAATCAGTCTAATAAACAAAAAAATAAATTACAAAAGACAAATTAAATGCTATACTGTCAACTTCATTTCCTAATTTGCTCACCTGCCTTCCTCTTCAGCGACCGATCTCACCCTAAGGCACAACTGATTTCCTCTCGCTTCTCTTCGTTGTGCATGATGAATATTTATCAGATCCAATTCTTCCTCTCTTGCTGTTCTCCTCGCCTTGCTGCACCCCCAGTACCAGCTTTGAAGGGTTTCGATGATCTCAGCATTGAGAAGGTGTGGATCTTTCCCTTTTCCTTCGTATTTTTGCGCGTTGTAATCTTTCCACAATACCCAGGCAATAATTCCAGGTGTTATTAGTCGAAGCATACCTATTAGTTGCTTAATATTAGCAGTAAACCACCATTCGAGGCAATGCTGGGTTATATTAATTCCATCTCTTCTAGTAGGACCTTTTGTAAGTTCGTGGGGGCGCAGCGGAAATCACCAAGTAAGAGCTATGCAAACAAATCAATCCACTATGCTGTAGAGAAGACGCTGCAGCTCTGTCCAGTAACAGATGACGGACAGTCTGCTATAGCACTTCTCTGTCACAAGCACACACAGAAGCAGATGACGCAGAGAGTGTTACAGCGCCTACTGGGCAGAATGTTGTAACTGTAAAAAGCGTAAAAAATGACACCAGATATGTTTACGCAGTTCGGAGAAACTCTCCTAGTTTGCGGGGCCCACGTCCGTGTAATAGCCCTCCACTAAATCACTAGATGCAAGTTACACCGGTACATAACAACATGATGAGACACACTTCTCCGAATTGTTATGACAAAACTTCTAATCTAGGATTTCTAACCCGAACTCTGTTCAGATCCGCTTCGGCTATCACATCTCCACCGAGATCACGAGGACAAACATGTTGGCAGCCCTTTCCTTAAGCTCTGGTTCATCTCCTGGTTGTCACGATCTGTTCGGCGTTGAAGATCTCCTCCTTCATGTAGATCGTGACCTTCTTCACGCACGGGAAGCTCCGGGACGCAATAGGAATGCTCTACATCAGCGTATATTCTTTGTTTTCCCTCTCGATCACTCCAAGTAATTCCCAGGGACCTGCTGCATATTTATAGGCTTCTCTTAACACAATCCTAGTAGGAATAGGATAGTAGAAGTTGGCTTGAATTCTACTTCCTTAATCTTGATCCACAAATAGCCTAAAGAGTTGGGATTCCTTCACAAGTACAGCTGGAGTTCTTATCATGTAACCACAATCCCAATAGGTCTCTAATTGAGATTGCAGCTTAAAATCCCGTGCTCAGACCTCTGATCCCGAACAGTGTGTTGCAGCATGGTGTTGTAGCATCTTCTGTGTCAACCTCGAAAACTGCAGCAACTCTAGAAGTCTAAATAAAATAAACCTCTCCTAACAAATAGAGGTTTCTCCCTAGTAAACAAATATGGGATTCTATTTTGCCAAAAGATTAGCCAACACCATGGAACTAACAATCTCCCCCTTTGGCAATTTTTTGGCAAAATACATCGTGCACCATGCGCATAAAAGATTAAAGCATCTTTTAAGAACTAAGCCTTTTCTCCCCCTTTTTGACACAAAATATGCCAAATTTATTTAGGGTAAAAGAGAAAAGTAATTACAAGTTATTTAAGAGCATACAACAATCACAAGCGCAAAACAAAAATAAAATCTACCATTACGATCCATGCACATGCTTCCCATTTGAATCTGCTGGAGCTTCATCCTTTTTGTAATTTACTCCCCCTCAGGATTTGCATGAATACCACATCTTGCTTCAAAAAGTGTGCTAACTCTTTAAGAGATCACCATGATTGTTTGCAACGAACCACCCAAAGATCAAGCTAATAACTTAAGCTTGCCAGGCTCTGATACCAATTGTAAGTTCGTGGGGGCGCAGCGGAAATCACCAAGTAAGAGCTATGCAAACAAATCAATCCACTATGCTGTAGAGAAGACGCTGCAGCTCTGTCCAGTAACAGATGACGGACAGTCTGCTATAGCACTTCTCTGTCACAAGCACACACAGAAGCAGATGACGCAGAGAGTGTTACAGCGCCTACTGGGCAGAATG